GGCCAAGTACAGTGGTCCCTCTGTTACCATGGGCAGTTGGTTCCAGAATCCCCATGGATACCCAAATCTGCAGATGCTCAGTCCCTTATATAAAATGGCTTAGTGTTTACATATGACCTACACACATCCTCTCATATGCTTCAGGTCATCCCTAGCTTACTACAATATCTCATAGAGTATAAATACTGCATGAAGAGTTAATATGCTGCCTTCTTTAGAAAATAATGACAATAAACATCATCTGTATGTTTACAGCACAGACACAATTTTTCTCTGAACATTTTCATTCTGCATTTGGTTGAATCCACAGATGAGGAACTCATGGATATGGAAAGCTGACTATATTAATTCAGTAAAATAATTCCACGGGATTCAGACATTCGGTCCAGAGCACGTTTGGCCTTTCTGATTGAATCCAGGGATAGATTTGGAACTATTTGGGGGAATGATGGCCTCCCTTTTGGGGTGCCCTCCATATGAGAGAGAGAGAGAGGGAGAAGGAGTGGGAGAGAGAGAGAGAGAGAGAGGCCTTGAGAGGTCTCTGGAACATACATATTTCAAGCTACCAGTCATGGTGAAGGCATGTGCTCTAAAAGGCAGCTGAGTCTAGGGTGGGATTGTCACCTCAAGGGCTGTGACAAAAGTTGCTTGTGTTCATGGAAGGCATTGCCAGTTCACAAAAAAGGTGGATAGACAGATTGGTTTCCAGCAGTTTTGAGCCTGCTCTAGCAAGCACACATGAAAAATGTATCAAACCCCTAAACCTATTATAAGCAACCCAAAGTACACCCCTGTGTGAAAGAAACTGAGTGAGTCGTGTGTGAAATGTAGCCTTGCCGATGACTAGCTTTGGGTCCTCAGGCTGTGGTGTTAATATCTCTGGACTTCAGTTTCCTGTCTGGAAAGGAGGCAATCTAAGTGCTTATTCTAACCACCTTACAGGTGTGCCCTGAGCAGCGAATGCAATTGCTTGTGTGAAACTTTTGTAAAGTCTGCACTTCAGTGTGGAAGTTCTCTTCCTGGGTGACAGCAAGCAAAAGATGAGACTCTCAGGCAGGAAACAGAAACTTCTCTCTGCGGGCTTTGTCCTAGAAGCCAGAACTCAGCCAGCATTGACCGCAATATTATCCTTCTTGGACTTGAAAAGCCTTTAACATGTTAAGCATTGTTCATTGTTGAAGTTCTACTTAATTGCTACCTCTGCAGCTAGGTTTTGCTTTGTGTTCATTTCCATACCATCTGCAATTAATGTTTACAGACTGTTTGCCTGAACAGCTAGGCTAACGCATGAGACATCAAGGAGTGAACACTTCACTCCAAAAACCCAAAATGTACTTTTCTACGGTTTTGTTTTATGTATTTTCATATCCTCCCTTTATATAAATAAAGGAAATATGAATTTAGACACTATAACCTTTGTTTCATATAGTTAAAAATTTCACCTTCCCTAAGTCACTCTTTCCATATATACTTGGGAATGTTTCCAATTTCAATGTTAGTTCTTTCATCTTGAAAACATATAAGAGATTCTTATCATTATTTCTTCTTTGTTTTTGATTCCCTGTTATGAATTCCACTCCACCACTTCGCTATTCATCACATTCTTGCACCTCACTGGGTTAATAAATTCTTTTGACACCTCCTGCCCCTCCTTCCTCCCTCCCTCCCTTGCTACCCCTCCTCCAAGAATGGTGCCCATCAATATTGCATGCCAGGGGTGTGCTGGGAGAGGACAGGGCTGACAGTTCCCCATCCCAGCAGGGGATCATCTTCTCCCTTCTGTTCCAACTCAGTGGTGAGCTGAGCCCCCTCCTTCCCACCTCAAGCACCGGCTGCTGACACCAGCCTGAAAGACAGATGTTTCCAATCCCCAACTATATTGCAAGAGCCACTTGAAATGGATTCCGCTTTAGTCGCCTTCCTTAAAAGTTGAATGCTTGCTTCTCAAGGTACACTTGTAACTAAAAGGTAGTAAGAGTAGTTGTTCAGGCAAACACAGCCGTTGCTTTTTCCCTCCAGTAGGCAAAGTGGAAGTGAGCAATAATAAGGTCACTCCCTATGGCAGATGGCGTGATATTAACTATGACACCATGAAAGCAAATCCTTACTCATGTTCTAGGAGAATGAGTTTTATTCTGGAAGAAGGAGAACAAACTGGCTTAAGAGGAAATGAAAACCACAGTGATAAAAGGGATAATAATGAAGTCTCAGGCTGATGCCAATAACTTTAGGATCCCAAATCAAAGCACATTTCCAAGTACCTAGATAACTTTAGATTTAATAGAGGAAACTATGTTGTTATTCATAGAGAATGGAGATAAAATGAAAAGACTGAAAGTAGATAAAACTCGTTTTGGTTTTCTAAAAGAAGAAAGAAATACCAGAGGTTGGTGACAGCCTAGTGCAATTTTAGAATGAGAGGGGAAGCTGTGATAGCCAAGAGTGTTTAAGTGGAAAATGTGCCAAATTATAATTCTGTTTTTAGAACTGATAATAACTGGTAACTTGGAAAGTTCTGCCATTTGACCTTGTTTGTGAGTTACCAAGTTGGCTGTCACTGTTTTACAGAAGTTAAGAGAAGACACAAGACCTTTAGATGAGACACAAGGGACAGTGTTACTAGCAGCACTACTTGGACTATCATTATTTTTGTGCCAGTTTCTTAAGGTCCAGTTCTGAAAGGGTGCTGCAGAGAGGATCACATGACGTCTGTATACTCACTGGTTGCATTCCAGGAAAGAAGCTCTGAGATTAAGGAACCTCTTTAACAATAAAAGTATACATGCCTGCCATGTGCTGCATAGGTAGACACTATTTTCCAAGGCATTTGATACACAAAACTTCCTTGAAAAGACAGGAACAAGCAGTATCCTGAGAAGTCCAAGGAGAATGATCTTCCAACCATATTAAAAATAACAGAGTTGCTACCATTCAGTGACTATTACATGAGGATAAGCCATAGATATAAACTAGCTAACTTCTAGATTATGTAATAAATAATATATAAACTCTAGATAAAGGCTAGAGGAAAAATCAATTTAAAGTGGCCATTGCCATTATAAAGGAATCTGATATCCCCTTGTCATATGCATGTGAATGAAATGGAAAGATGTGAACTAGGCAATGTATGTTTTAATGGGTTTAGATGTGGCTGAACTAAATAACACAAAGTATTGACATTAGACTAGAGAGAGGTTTCAAGTGATGTCCTTGAAAAGGCCCCTGCACTTGCCATATTCTTGTGTTACAGTTTCATCAATGATTAGAATGACGACATAAATGCCAGGCATATCAGATTTGTGGAGGGTAAAAGATCGGAAGAGACAGCAAATATTTGGTAGAAACACATAGAATTAAGAAATAGGTAGCTGAAATTTACCCTGAAATTATTAAGTGACATTAAAAAGCTAAATATAAATTTCTGCTCCTGGGTTCAAAAGCCATCATTACAACCACAGAACTATATAGACTTAGCCTAAGAGCTTTCTGTGCTTTGAACACTTAGAGTGGTCAGCTTTAAAAATTACTTACCTCCTTGGGGCTTCATGCTTCATTTTATAAAAGAGATGTTTAACCATACTATCACCATCTTTCCATCTAACTGGAGCCTGTTAAATAACATGTGTAAGTAAGGACTTGATCGAGAATAATGTAAGGCAACAATTTTGTGACACATGAATGTAACTACACATTCCCAATCAAAGAAAGTAGCAGTCATCTTCTCTGTGTACCCTAGTATTGAGTTAATTTTCAGATGCCTCGTTTAATGAGAACCTTGAGATCCTGACAAACACCCAAATGAAAAGGAAAGTATAAATATAAGAAAACTGGATATCATACTTTTCCAGCTGAGCTTCAAAAAATAAAGACATTTGGTCTGTAATAAGAGTGTAGAAATGTCATAACATGCTCCAAATACATGAAACAAAGTAAGACAGAAAGCAGGTCAAGGATATGTGGAAAGAAATTTCAGGAAGGCAGGTTGTGTTCACTCCAAGTCTTTATAATCAGTGAGGTGAGCTCAGTAGCAGTGAACTATGATTCTGGGTGTGTCGGAAGCACTAACCACAAGTCAGCCATGATGTAGAGAGGCCCCTGCTTTGGGAGAAAGGTGATGCTGAATGACCCCTTAGAGCCCTTCTAGAATTCTGTGACTCCATGATTTCTAAAGTCATGATATTCCAATAAACAGTTTGAGTATTGTAGTTGGGAAGGCATTAGTTTTAGTCCCATTACTAACCTGGGCTTGTTAGTTGCCGGAATTTGGGCAATCCACTCAACTTCCTCACATATCAGTTGATTGGTTGGGTTCATTGATCCATTTGCCTATTGATTACAGTCTTGTTAAAGAAGTAAAAGATATTCTAACAATAAAGAATTTGTACATTTAAAGTTCTTTATGCCCAGATGATTGAGTATGAAGTATACAAGTAAAGAGATCTCATTATAGATTGATACAGAAATACAGTTCTATATTATTTTTGGTCATATTTGAAAGAACAATTCTGCCAAATAACAGGTAGAATTCTTCCTGAAAGTCTTTTGGACTAAGTTTACCTCTAGGATGTCCTCATTCTGAAGTGATTTTTTGAAGTATTTTTCAAGGGAGATCCTAAAAACACAAGTATTATCAAAAAAGTTGGTTATGTAACTTCACACAGACTGTTCTTTCTCATTCCATCCTGAAAGCATTGGTACATGAATTCAGAAGAAGCTACCAAAGGCAGACCTGTGTCTAAGGGAAGAGGATCAAAGTGACAGTGGCAAATTGACTGTTATCATAAAGACCTCCAGTCTTTCAGGATCAAAGACTTAGTATAAGGAGCATGTCTTTCCATTTAACTGTACTGCACTTCCGCACTGCCCCCACCCAAGACATGAAAAATCCCAAGAGGAAACTATTCCACCAGTTTGTGCAACTTGAGAAGTCAGAACTTAATGAGTACATAGGACATATACCTTATGGGGATGTCTGATCACATTCTCTGCTCTCCTACCAGGCCACCCATGGAAGACTCACAGACACTTCTGACGCCTGTGGTGAGCTGTGGGCCTCCAGGAGCTCTGCTGACACGCCCCGTCATCCTTACCATGCATCACTGCGCAGATCCTGACACGGAGGACTGGAAGATTCAACTCAAGAACCAGGTGGCACAGGGCCAGTGGGAGGTGAGCCTCTAACTGGGACAAGGATGGAATACAGGAGCAAACCAAGCAGATGAGTGGGGCAATCATGGGAAGCCTTTTTTTTTTTTTAAAGCAAAATGTGGGCTGTGGGTAGAACTTTACCCAACTCTCAACATACAGACTAGCTTCCAAGTGCTTTATTTTCTGGGATATAGGCACAAAGAAAATGAGGCAACAACAGCTAACTCACAGGAAAAGTACACTTGAGAATCTTTGACAAGCCTTTTTTGTAACAGAGATAATGAATATTGGGAAGGCGAACATACACAAGTACGGGGGACCTACATCAAAAAGTTCATGAACAATGGAATTAAGGTTTTATTTTTAATTATTTAGTTAAGAGAGAAAGAGAAAAAGAGAGAGAGGGAAAGATAAAGTAAGCTCTCAGCTACTGATTCACTCCCCAAATGCGTCGTATGGCCAGGATCCCAGTCAGGAGCCAGGAATTCAGTTCAGTAATCTTACATGGGTAGTAGCAGGACAACTAGCTGAGCCATCACTACTGCTTCCTAGGATGTCCATTAGCAGGAAGCTAGAATCAGGAGTGGGAACCAGGTGTCAGACCCAGGCACTCCGATGTAGGATGTGGTTGTCCCAACTAACAACTTAACAGATAGGCCTAACTGCTATTTTCATGCAAAATAAATTTTTTTCTGAAATCTATATATCCCATTGGGACTTCAAAAAGTTTGTGGAAAATGGAAAAAAAAAGATAAGGCACATTTTCCACTGTGTGTATTTAATAAGGAAAAATGTACAGGTGCAAATGTTCACTGGTCATAAACATTGATCTTCTGCACAATGCAGTTGCTTCTCATATCCTCATATACTGAAATGTCTTCCTATGTGTTAATTTACAGGTAGAGAAACATTGCACCTGTGTCAGAAAATGTTAGGTACTTCATGTACCTGGTATGTAGCTCTTGCAGACTGAATCTAGGGAAACAGAAAGAGTGTGTTTCCAAAGATCTACTAGAATGAAGAACACCAAGAGCATCTTGGCTCCCTATGGCTGTTGCCATGGTAATTTCTTAAGGACACTGCCTTAAACAGATCACTTTGCTTATGTCAGTACTCTCAGGGGAGGTGTTTGGCCTAGTAGTTAAGGCACCACTTGAGATGCCTGCATCTCATATTACAGTGTCTGGGTTTGAGTCCTGGCTCCACTCCCTAGTCCAGCTTCCTGCTAACGTGTACCCTTGGAGGCCACAGATGATGGATGAAGCACTTGGTTCCCTGCCACCTGAGTAGGAGATTTGGATTCTATTCTTAGCTTCCCAATTTGGCCTGGCCTAGCCCTAGCTGTTTAAGGCATTTGGGGAGTGAACCAGTATTGAGAGATCTCTCTCTGTTAATCTTTCTCTCTCTCTCTCCATCTGCCTTTCAAATAAATAAAATACATAAGTGAAAAAGTTAGAACCTTTCACTGAGTAACTATAGGGAGCATTTATCAAAAAATCAATTAATTATCAAAAATATGATATAAACCTCAATACAACTTAGAAGATACATAAAATGTGAAAGTATCCAAAGATTATAATGTGTATTTTGTGATTACTTGTGAAATTTTTCTTTTAGAAAAAAAAAAAGTTGGGATACTTTTTCTAGAAATGAAGAGTCTAACCTGTAATATTTGCAGAAAACATACTGTTATAGTTACAAAAGTAGCAGGACATCTCTGAAATTAACACGAATTTCTCTCCTATAGATGTCTTCTACTCTTGGCCATGTGAGGAAACACTTTGCCAGAGGTCCTAAAGTCCAGGATTGGAGTGTAGGGATGTCCTTTATTATAAGACCAGACTTGATCAGATCCGCCTTTACATCCCAAAGTCTTAATCTCAAGTTATTCTAAATTATTTGCATGATTCTCTAATATTCTTAATCCATTTCTGGGTTTGAGTACTAATAACAACAATAACAATAATGAGATGAGAAGAGTGGACAGTCTTGATGAAAACACTTGTACACTTGTGAGTGTCTGGGACATGGGCAATTTTTTCTTGGTCACATCTTCTAGGAGATTCAGTAACGTCCTGTTCCCAGGGATGCTGCAAGTTGCCCTTTGTCCTGCTGGAAAACAGGGCTTCTTCCCAGGTGTCCTTTCAAGGCTGAAACACAGTTGTGCATGCTGAGCGTCCCTCTCTTGTGTTTTTTAGTTTGAGCTTCCATTTGAGAATATTTCAAAAAGTTTGTGGAAAATGAAATTAAAATATAAGATTTTTGGTTCAAAAAATTGTGAAATCCTTGCATACAAGGGGTCTTCAAAATGTTCATGGAAAATCCCTAATATGAAAAGTGAATGCAGGGATTTCTAAATTTTTTGCATAAGGTTACAATTATCATGTAATTCCATGACATGAACTTCTTGATGTACCCTTATAGACTTTATTTCATTGGTGCTTTTAAAACACAAACTTTATCATAGCTCCAGTAGGCCTAACTTATAATCAAATACCTGAGGTGGCTGCTGCTTTCCCATCTTTATCCAGACCCAGGAAATAAATTTATGATGGCACATTCATTCATTATTTTTGACAAATAGTTACCAGACACGCACAAGGAGGCAGGCACACTGAGGCAGAGTGGAAAGCAAAAGAAACACGGTTGCTGCCCCGTAGAGATCAAATAACCTAATACACAGACTGAATCATGCTATGCACGTGTTTTTATTTCTACCACATGAAATTTTCTTTTAACCTCAATAAGTTAAAATATGGAGGGTTTCACCTAAAAAGGTAAACTCCCAACTTCTGGCAAAGTCAAAGCTCCATGCCACTGGACTGGCATTCCTAGGTAGCAGACATGGGCTGATGCCAAGTGTTGAAGGAGCTCTTTAGACCCACATGCGCATGGGTTTTAGCACTTTCTTCACTCCTTATTGTCCTGTGCTCCACCTGCTTTTCCCCAAGAGGAATCCGGAATTATGGAATTGTGGCCTTTGATTCATGGATGCTACACTTGATCATTCAGATTATTTAAAGTGGTGGGAGCCACATAAATAAATCAAAACCTGGTTCAATTAACCACTCTGTTTATAAAAGTCATCACTGTCAAGTATTTTTTATTTCTTGTTAAGCATTTTAAAGTCTAAAAGACTAGATAGTTCAATGACTTCCATGAAAAATAACAGAAAAAAAATTGTCTTACAAGTAATAGAGTTTTCTTTAGAAATTCAGCAATCAGGATTCTTTAGGAAGAGCAGTGTATTGCTTTGGGAAGTAATTGACAGGCGAATTTTGAAAGAGTGAAGTAGAATAGTATTGTGTAAATCCTTAATTTTTCTAATTGTTTTCCAAAATAACACATTTTCAGAGAAAAAGAAATGCAATAATGGGAGTACAATCATATTTTTTGAATTAAATAGGAAATTTAGAGATTGAAGCATTAAATTCTCAGAAACATAGTAAACTCAGGTACACTAATGTTAATAGGACAATTGATGAATGTCTTTTAGATTTTTATGTAGAACCCAATGGTGTAGATTCTTGGAAGATCAAAAATGTTAAAGCACATCTAAATAAAAGATATCATCAGTATAAGCTAATGTTAGGAAGATAACAACTAAGAATGGAAAGAGAGGTATCCTAAAGCCTAAAAAAGAGAACAGGAAAAAGAGCACTCAAAACTGAGAAGTCCTACCCCATCCCATGTGCCACCATCCATGGTGGCCTGCACCTGTCCTCGGTGGCTCATCATGGATCCTGTCTTCCATCCTCCAGGACGTGGTGGTGGTCGGAGAGGAAAACTTCACTACCCCTTGCTACATTCAGCTGGATGCAGAGGCCTGCCACATCCTCACAGAGAACCTCAGCACCTATGCCCTGGTTGGCCAGTCCACCAACAAGGCAGCTGCAAAGCGACTGAAGCTGGCCATCTTTGGGCCCCTCTGTTGCTCCTCCCTGGAGTACAGCATCCGGGTCTACTGTCTGGATGACACACAGGATGCCCTGAAGGTAAGTCGTACCCCTTCAACCCCCCTCTTCTCCCTCACCTGGAAGCCCAGCTTTGGTGTGGCTATCCATATTTAGAGATGTGTGTGTGTGTGTGTGTGTACCCAAGTCTGTGAGCACATGCATTTGGCTCCAAAGGATGCAGTTTACAGAAGAGAGACGTTTCTCTGAAGCCATGCTGATATATGAACTATTTCCTTTATTCTGATTCTTCCCAAGGGCTACTTTTGTTTATTTTCCTTGATTTCTTTTAATGAAAAATTTAGAAGAATCTGGCAGTGAGACCCATGGATGGTAAATAATCTGCTTCCACATTTATCTCAGCTGTGTTCTTCCTATAACAGGAGTTGGCGTAATTGCTCACATTGTATGTTCCTCTTGTGTGCTACTTCATTTGTATGCATTCCCATTCTCTTTACGAGGGCTGTGAGGGAGAGGGTATTTGACAACAGGCTGCTGCTTTGCAGAATAAATGAGCTTAATTCCTGGTGCGATTATGGCCATTCATTTCATCCCAGTTGAAGCTTTCAGGGATATTATAAGTGCCTGCCTTTGAGGAAGTTATGATGTAGAAACAGGAATAAAAGAAACATTCCAAGGATGAGGAGGTAAGTTGACTGAGAGCAACACCACAGCTGGATGCAAGGTTCTAGGGTAGTTCAGAAGAGGGAGGCATCTTACTGTTTTGAGGACATCTGCAAAGGAGCTAACATTTGGCCCTAATGGAAGTTGGCCTTCGGGCAGAAGTAATGGGGGAAAAAATTACCATATTTCTAGGTAGTGGGAATAGCATGAAGAAATACAGATGGGAACAATAAGTAAAGACCTAATACAGGCTCTTCATCATAAGCCTAGGATAATATACAGGGGTTTCATTTGGGATGGACCTTGATTGTCAGAGAGAGGGGTTGATATTGAGTTTATTGAGGTGATAAAGACTGGGGATGTCTAAACAGGAGAAAGACATGATGGAAACATGTTAAAAATATTAGTCTGACTTCAGTGGAAAACAGAATCAAGGTAAGAAAGAGTACCTGGAGGATCTGTGGTGATGACAGAGCAGAGAGAGGAGAGGAACAGACGGCTGGCGCCGCAGCTCACTAGGCTAATCCTCTGCCTAGCGGCGCTGGCACACCGGGTTCTAGTCCCGGTGGGGGCACCGGATTCTGTCCCGGTTGCCCCTCTTCCAGGCCAGCTCTCTGCTGTGGCCAGGGAGTGCAGTGGAGGATGGCCCAAGTGCTTGGGCCCTGTACCCCATGGGAGACCAGGAGAAGCACCTGGCTCCTGGCTCCTGCCTTCGGATAGGCGCGGTGCACTGGCAGCAGCGCGCCGGGTGCAGCGGCCATTGGAGGGTGAACCAATGGCAAAAGGAAGACCTTTCTCTCTCTCTCTCACTGTCCACTCTGCCTGTAAAAAAAAAAAAAAAAAAAAAAAAAGAGAGAGAGAGAGGAACAGGCATAAAAGACCTTGTTCAAGAAGGCTTTATTGGGTTTGGCAATTAACCCTCATGGGTGGGCCAGAAGATCAAGTTCCTGTCTTTACATTGCAGGGACAAGCTCAAGGAGCAGAAATCTTTATGCTATAGCCTGGCTCGGTGCAGCCTATTATGACAAAGCACCATAGACTTTACACATTCATGCAGGTTGGAAGGCTGAGACCAGGGTGCCATCACTGTTGGGCTCTGGTGAGGGGCTCCAGGCTGCCCACTTCTCAATGCCTCAGCTGGAGGAGAGGGCTCCGACATCGCTTTGACAAGGGTACTAATCCCTTTCATGAGGGCTCCCCTCCATGACATAACCGTTTCTCAAAGGCCCACTTCTGAATACCATCACATTGGGGTTAGGATTTTATCATACAAATTTTTGGTGGACACAAGCATTCAGTCCATTACAGTGCTTTTTTTCCTTTGGAATGCTGAATTAATTGTATGAATTAGACATCTAGACACAGATGCCTGAGGAACAGTTAGAAATATAAATGTGAAGATTAGAAATCTTCATAACCACCCCTAAGATACCACTATCCTCACTTTACTGATGTGCAACCCAAGGCACAGCAAGCTAATAAGTGGATAAAATAAGCTTCATGCCCATGTCCTCTTGGGCTGCCCTTGGGCTCTCAGCTAAAGCTGGGCTTCTTGAAGAACCACACCCTACTGCCTTTGGAACAATAAGGCCTTGCTAAGGGGAAGGGTAGCCCACAAAGGAATTTGAGGAGGTTGGACATGTGGAGAAGGAAGAGAAGAAAAATGAGTCAGATAAGCCAAGAAACCTCTGAATATCAAAAGGGTTACTTCTGGGGTTCCCATGCAAAGGGAAGTTGTGAGTCATGAAAACTGAGTGTTGCCTAGGGGGTCCTGGGCAGTGGGCCATGGGGGTGGATCATGGAGAACACAAATGGAAAGAGAGGAAGGAAAAGCTTATTACAGTTACCTGTGCATCTCAATGGATGTGATCAGCATGGTCCCCAGAGAAGGGATGAGATTTGGTTGGTTGCCTGATATATTTTTGAAAGTCGGGCCAGTAGGATTTTCTGATATTGAATAAATTCTGTGAACACACATCTCTAGTGTAAAGCTCAGGTTTACTTCTTTTATATTCCTTACCAATGTAATACTTCTAAGGCACTGGATTTCAGGATAGAAATCACAGAAGGCTTAGATTCTTCTCAAAGAAAATTATATTTGTAGGGGAATCATGGGATCTGATTAAGGCAAGTCTTTTGAACAGTTCCAAGAAGAATCATGCATTCAAAGAACACAATGCAGAAAACTCATTTTATATCCAAAATGTTTGATACACATGCATGCCTTTGATATTATACACATGGTCATACTCAGGAATCCTTGATCTGTCTTCTGAACTGACATATACACAAAGATATGCAAAACTGTCACCTTTTCTAAAATATTTTGGTTATTTAAAATAGTGATAAAGAGAGGCAAAGAGTCAACTCTGAGAAAAATTGATGTATAGCTTTAAGCAATGAAAACAACCCAAGAGCACTTTGTATTGGAGTCAACACTTTCCTAGCAGGCATTTGTAAATTCTCAGCATCTGGGGACCTAGTGCCTAGCCTGAAACAAATATGAATAATGGATGGAGGCTTTCTTGCACCTCATGGCCTTTTAATAGTGCAGAAATAACCAAAGTCCTAGTTCTAGGTAAATGACCCATCCAACCTACCAATGAGACAATTAGTGTCAACACTGCCTAACATCGAAGCTTAAATTGGAAACTTGGGGCTGATTAGCTCAAAAATGTCCTTTTGTACTAAAGTTTCCCCCATGGTACCCTGCCTGCTGAGGTTCCCTCTTAGCTTTCCTCCAGCTCCTTGCTTCTCTGATCACAGTTATCCAGACATGCGATCTTTTGCCTCACCCCTCCCAAATTCCTCCTGCTTCTCCAAACCTACCCACTCCTGACTCCTGTCCTTCCTACATCAGTAGTTTTCTATCTCAGTGCACAGAGATTCAGGCAAGGAGCTTTCCAGAAGACTCACTCCAAGGTCCTACCCAACTGGGCTGGTACTAGGGATTATTCTGAGTGCTTGCTGTGTCGTATTATCATGAAGCCAAGTTAAGAACCTTGATCCTAAACAGTTTCATAATTCTTTTGGAACTTGGATTCTATTAAGGATAAAATTTCCTACATCTTCAAATCATTCTTTCTGCCATCCGTTCTTCTCTTGGTTCACATTCACTGCCACTGGTTCTTCCAGGTACCACCTCAGCCCTTACAACACCTCTAGTGAAGACCATACCCTCTAACCACAAGGCCAAGACGAAAAATTCTAGAACTTCTCATACCGCATGATCACTGCTGGTTCAGCTCTCCATTTCCTGGGCTGGATCTTCCCTCTGTTGCTCATTATCCACTTGAATTCCTTTGCACAGACTGCCGTGCATCCCCTGCCCTGGAGTCTTCTTTCCACCCACTTGATTCCCATCATTGTCTCAAATTCAATGTCACACCTTAAGCCACAGGTCACTTGCTGAGACTTACTCTAGAAGCCTGCTCATCATTCCACATTATCTATCCACCAGAATAGACATGGTCTGTATTTCATCCTCATTAGCAACTGCTCCACTGACCAGATCTCCATCTGTCAAACCCCCACAACCAAGTGACTGTCCATTCTCTCTCACACATGGCACATGGAACTGCCTTTTGTTCTCTGGTCCCCTGGTCCACAAGCCCTCATCTATTCCTGCTTATACTCAATTCCACACTTAAATCTCTTGTCATCTTGAACTGCTACACTCACCTAATTTCTGTAGCCAGGGATGGCCTCCACTGAACAAGCTCTCTCCATCACCACTTGCAAATGTCTGATTGGATCTACTGCAATCTCTAGGTAACTGAACAAAGAGATGCCTCTCTTGCTTCCTCATCATCTTTTGTTACCTATATTTCTTATTAATCAGATTCCATACCACTGTTTTTCCATGTATCATTCATTCTCCTGAAGTCCCTGATTGAATCTCTGGCCCTGTCATGCTTAGCAGTGACCCTAAGCTTGCAATGGAAGTCCCCTCAGCTGCCATCCCTTCAACTTCAAGGTTCTTGATTAGTCTGTATTTTAACGGACAGGAACTCTGCTGCCTGGTTTGTGCCTTAATCCAACTCCTTGCCACCTCCATCTCCAGCACAGCAAAGCATGTCTGAAGGTCAGAATCTCAAGATTTCGTATTTTCCTATAGTTACAGCCAGGTGCTGGGATTCTTCCTGAATTGTGGACAGACTCATGGAAATGTTGGACTAGGGCAGAGATGGAGGTCAGTGGAACATTTGTTCCCGGGGGTCATACCTACACAGTCCCTGAGAGCTATTAGAAAAACTCATTGGGCCAGACTGTCTCAAGCCCAATGTTTCAAGAAGACTAATTATGATTTTTTTTTTATTGTATGTGGTTACAGTACCCATGTGGATGGGGAAAAATTGACACCTCCACACCAGTCAGCCTCAAGCAACCCTAATATACTCTTTTATCTCCCCACCTCC